CTGCAGCTGAGAGTTAGCCACAGAGAAAATCCCATATGCCTATAGCTATATATCCTAAAAAAATCATATTAAAATGGTGGTTATATTGCATTTTGACTTGTAATAGAAATACTACTGTTGGAAGTTTTTTCAAATTATACCAGTACAGACGTTACTGGTCAATACAAAAGGCCAGATATTCAGCTGTCATTCATTTCCATTGCACTGTTGCAATTTACAGCAATTCAGAGAAAACCACTTCAATGGGCTGTTTCTCCTGCCTTCACATGGAATGTTGCCTGAACAAACAATTAGTTTTACTAATTTAATGGAAACTCTTTGCATGTTTTCCCACGTGCACTAACCTCAGTTTCAAGATAAGAAAAGCACACAGTGGAGATCAGTGCTGGCACAGAGAACATTATCCAGGCTGAAGTCAAAGGGTGACAGTAGTAGCTGCTGCTTGCAAAGTCCCCAACTCTCCCTGGATGGGAAATTCGGGCAGAGGGAGGGGAAATTCCACAGTACTGCTAAAAAAAAATTAAAATAAAAGAGCAGAATGCTAAGAAGTGTAGCTTCACCTTGTAACAGCACTGCTTTTTACTGTCTGTGCTGAGAGTGGTTCCACTTCTGACCTGTCAGGTGTAGAAAGGATGCTGATCCAGTTGCCACTACCTTGTGCTCCAGAATCTTCACAAAACATTGGAGACTTAATTCTTTTATCCCTCTCTTAAATTTTTGTTCTGTCTTCACAAATAAGCTCTGGACTATTTTAGCTGATGTCTCTTCTTTTCTGTGCTCTCCTTCCATCTGCCCACCCTGTGTTCAGATTTACTTACAGAGGGACATAGCCCTGAGCACAGAACACATGCATAGAAAATAAGACTTTTCTTCATAGATGTCTTTGGATAATGCTTAATGGATTAATGGGTTAAAGAAAGGAATGGGAGAAGCAGAAATAGTACATATTTTAATATTTTTTTTAAGAAAACCTTAGTTAACCTGAGTTAACTTGCTCTGAGGTATCTATGTCCACAGTCTGAGGACTTGAAGTGACTTAGTGGAAGACTCTGATTCAGTTTTTTCACTCTACTATTTCTCTTTAATCTGAAAATCAAGAGTACCAAAATTTAATATTAGAATTCTGTGCAGCAGATCATTAGGAGTATTATGAATAATAATTTATACCTTAACACTGAGGAGTTTTTCAATGTATGTAGATACAAAATAAAATCTTTTCTGTTTGGGAGCTTTTATAGTGTGAGAACACTGCAATTTGTATTTCACTGGGACTAATGTTAAATTGTGCTAAGAAAAAATCACACAGATTTCAGATTTGCTATAGGAAAATATCTGTATCCAGATCTTCAAGACTTTACAAAGATTATTTTGATTTCAGCTTTTGTGATTGAAGCCTCAGGTCTGTATTATTTATCCAACTATCAAGGCTCATTGTCTTCAAGCTTTTATCATATGTTCTTAACTATGTTTGCAGGAATCAGTGTAAATATCTTTTGTGTGTGTGTGTGTGGTAATATGTTTCCTCTTATTCCTTTGTCCATTTGGGAGCTACATAATTCTGATTAAACATCCCTGCAGAGAAAGAATATCCCACTGCTCAAAAATTTTTGACTTTGCCGAGTTCTGTTTTCATTTAGACACATAGTCAAAATTCCATACTTGATCAGACTAGTGGTGTAGTAGCCCAGCATCCTGTCTTTAAGAAAAGCTGGGAACAGATGCTGCCTAGGAAGGGAAAGGAATGCTGCAGTTACTAACCCAGGGGTAACCTGCCTGCGGGGGAAGATTTCTCCCCAAGCCACAACACTTTGAGCCTGAATTATGCCCCGAAGTACAAAGTTTTACATCTCTTCAAAAAACTGCAATTCAAAAAAAAAGAGCTGTCATAATTTCCCCAAAACTTTTTGTGAAGTATTTCTTTCTTCAGAGTCCCATTAAGTTCCTGCCTCCACAGTGACAATGACTTCAATAAGCCAATTATGCTCAGTTCTGAAATAGATTTCCTTTCTGTCACTTTTTCTGTTTGATCCATTTCAATTTAATTAAATGGTCAACATTTAAAGTATATTTTTTCCATCTTGAAAAAATAAATCTTCATTGTAACTTTTCAGAAAATTGCCTATCCAGTTCTTTATTTTCCATTTGGAATAAACCTGAGTTTTTATGCTGATGAGAGATTGTTTAAGCAACCATCTCACTCATCTGCTGTAAAAACAATATTTTAAAGATGCAATTTTCTGTGAAAGAATCTGGTTCAACATGTAATTCTCTTCTGTCTTTGATGGATCATTTTCTCACACATAATGAATTCTGTTGAATCTGATAATTTTATTTCTCATAAAGTAATCACAGTGAAATAATGAGGTACCGTATCATCATTTTTGCTTTGTTTCTCATTGCCTGCCTTTTACACTTGAAAAAAGTCCTTGAGTTCTTGATGAGTCTTCTTGGCTTAAAGGACCTGTCTTTTGCCAGGTTGAAAGAAAAAAAATTATTCAGATTCTTTACTTTTGATTCACCATTGCTCTGAAATAATGAGTGCTATCCTTCCTTATAATGACCCAAAACATCAAGGGTGGCTTCCTACTCGCCATGAAAAGACACAGGTCCAGCTTTTTCATTGGGATGAAAAACTTGTTAATAAAATCAGCACAGTGGTTCAGATACTTCAGCCTGTTAGACCTCCGACAGCAGAGTCACAGATCTTAAGAAGAGGAAGAAGAAAGGGAAGGAGAAACAGAGATTCATGGGAGGAAAAAAAAGGGGGGAAAAAAAAAGTGTTTTCAGATGGTATCAAACAAAAGAAAAGAATGTTACCGTCAGTCCTCTCCCACCAAATTTGCCTCTGCCCTGTTCAGTGCTGGTACCACTGCTCAGGTCAGGGATTTATTAAAATGCAATAAAGTGACAATATTTCTGGAAACCTGGAGCCATCCTGGAACTACTCGAAGAATTCTTCTGAACGGGACTGATTCAAACCCCACAAAAAGTAAATAGGATCTTCTGCACTGGTTTCAAGAGGCTTTCAATTACCCCAGAACCCTGCAGGGTTGAAACAAATGCTGCACGGGTTGTTGGCAAGGTGTGTGAGGGGAAGCCACTACTGCTGTTACTAACAGAGTTTATCATTAACAGAAACACTACACCACACTGTATTCACTGACATGGTAACAACACCCCTCTGTCCCATAACTATGCAATGAAAACTGTCACAGACTCGAGCTTTTTGAAATGTTTGAAGAGTTAAAATTCATCAAAAGTTCGAAACTCGTTGCATTCAAACTATCAGAAAGGGCTTGTATTTGCTTTTCCCCCAGTACACTTTAAGAGTACGTGCACTTTTCAAATGCTCTTTCACATCCTATTCCCAGTGATGACCTCTACTATTTGTGCTGGACTTGGGTATTATTTTTTACTGAGACGAGATCTCTTTAATCAGCTTTAAAAACATTGTGAACTGAAACCGCTCTTATTTAAAAGTTTAACTTTACTTTCATCAATTTATAATCAGAGTTCCTCTGGTATGTTTGATTCCTGACAAACAAGGATAAAAGTCTTGTGCCCCCATTGCTAATGAGATGATAAAACAGCAGGGATCAAGTTTTTAATTACTACAGGCTATGCACTGGAGAGGTACCAATGATATTTTTCTATTGCATGTCTAAGTTGTAACTTCAGGCTTATGACAGTCATGCTGTGTTCCTCTGCCTTTGATGATCACTCATCTTTGTCTCCTGAGAACATACAAAAATTTCTGAGCTTGGATCCTGGGGGGCTTGCAATTATTGCTGTAACCTGGCACAGGTTCCAGGGTAGCACCGTTGCTGCTCAGTGAGGATCCGATGTCTGAGCGGAACAGAGGACACGCAAAACATTAGGAACTTCTCAGACAATCTGGGTTCTCAATCTAGTTGCCCCTTTAATAATTATGCTCTTAATTAAGCTGGAGAATAGTTTAATATTGTTCCCTTTTTTCCTGCTAGAAGCACAGTCTAATACCTCCTCACACATAAAGAGTGACGGCCACAGACACACAGCAATACACATTTCTGGCACTAGGGGACTCAGGTCTTGGAAAATTGACAATACAGGCACGTTTTTGAAGATGATCATCATTCCTACCCACGTTTATAAGCTTGTTGAGCAAGTTTTGTTTCTTTGAATAAAATTAATACTCATGCAAGAGATTAAAATGTATCTCTAGTAATAAACAGTTTCTTTATTGGAAAGAGAGATGAGGCTGATTATGTTACAGACCTACCCTTCCCTTCCCCAGTTTTGCAGACCTTCATCACACTGATCAGCCTGCAAACATTTGGCCCTTATTCTGGTTATTCAAATGCTTTTTTTCCTTTGGCTCCATAGCACTGTCTTACATAAGAGTGAATATTTCCTTTGGCTGCAGTGCAAGGCAAACAAGAGAAGAGCCACCAGTTGTGCTAACACAGGCAAAGCACAGCTGAGACAAGAATGAGGATGTTTGTAGGTGACATGGAAAGTCACCTCCCTGTTGCCTCAGGACCAGATCACTGCTTAGATCACCAGAAATTTGTGGGGAGGAAAATATCAGAGGAAAAACACTGGAAGCATCTTTCTCACTGAGCCTCTGTGAGTTTTGTGCTCTAAATGCAAGGTTTATCTTCTCATGAAAGAGTTTGTGAAATCTGAACATGAGCCCACCAGGTTTTTCAAATGAAGAAGAGGCTGTCTCCATACAGACCAGGTACCCACCCCAAAATTTGCTCTGAAATCACCACTGCTTTTTTTCTGCCACAGTTGCTCTGCCACTGTTCCATGGCATCCTACAGACATAATTTCCCTTAAATTCCTCTATGCTGAGAGAACACTCTGTGAAAAAATTACTTCATCCCTACTTTGTGTTGCCTTTTCTGTTTAATCTCTGCTTGATGTGAAAGAGGTGTGTCTCAGCCTTTTATCCAACTAAAATGAAGCTGCTATTCCTTCCCTTAGTTCCTTCAGTTTAAAATTCCTCTCTGCAGCTAAATCTTAACCCAGGAGGGAGTTTTCCATCTGGGGAAGGACTGAAGACCACAGAAATCATGACATCTCCAGCATGAAGTGGAGTCAGCAAGGCGGAAAAGATGAGTGTGGAATCAGGAGCAGGAGATCCTTCTTGAGTGCTGAAATACAAAAAGTAAGAAATCACTTTTTCTTTGCCCAAACTCGAAGATTTTACAGTGGCATCATTTGTGTGAGGGTAAAAATACCAAAGGACATGGTTGTGTGCAGAGATATTGCAAAATACTGTATGTAAGCAAACTTTAACTAATATATTCATTTCAGCAAGAATTGTGAGTTCTGATCTGACTCAGATTCTCCAGGGACTGCACGTCAGACAAATGCTACAGAAATCAAGAGACCAGATGACCCACTTCTCTCTAGCTCCAGGATAAAACCCCACTGCTTTGGTAGCCCCATCCAAAGCAGGCTGTAAATAATCATTCTTATGAAAAACAGGGGGGGCAACACTCACTTCAAAAAGTACTTCACAAATCTGAAAACTTCTATTAAATAACCGACCACGATTAATGTGCTTGGCTGTAGAAATCAATTATATTTTAAAAGCAAATCATGAAGGAGACTTCATAGTTGTTTTCTTTTACAACTGATATGACAGATCAAAAATGCAAACGCTACAAATGCTGAACTGACTAGAACCCAAATATAGCTTAAATGCACAGACTTATTTTACAAATGTAGGACATCCAAGGAATAAACTATTGTTCTGCAGAGGCGATCAATGGCACTTCAGAACTTTGCAGCTTATATCAAACCAACACATAAACAGAATCAAGAGGCATTTAATATGCTGCATAATAGAACTTGAAATGAAGTTGACCATAAAATGTGTGTAATCTAAACTGCAGAAATCACTCCACTTTAACGATCTGTTCCCTAAAAAGAAAATGTAAAAGTGTTTAAAAGATTTAGCAAAATGCGTGCATAGATTGAATAAATCATCATGGGTATCAATTAGATCTTGAAAATGGTGTACAGCTCTTATAACATCAAGGACTGCTTTTAATTACAGCTGCAGTGTAACTAATATTTTCTTAATTTTAATGAGTGTTGTCCTATTATAGGATTAACTTGTGCTGAAGCTGGAGAAGTCAAAAGAATTTTCAATTAAAAGAATTGCAAAGACATTTGAGAGGTACACAGAGAACAGCAGACAGTTTTGAAATTTATTGGATTTTGGCCCAAGTGCTGTTCCACTTTCTCACTCCATGAGTCATCTCATGGGACTACAGCAAACAAGATTTGGGGTTTTTTCACAGAATTGTAAAAAGTAAATATTGCCATGCTCTGCAAGTACAAAGCTGTAGTAAATTCCTGTCTGTACAAGAGAAATTTGCACAACTAAAATGATCACAAGATATCATTATAATCTGGAGTAGGGAGGTACATCAGAAACACCAACTCTTTTAAGTTCCTGTGTTTAGTTGTAACTCCTGCTCCATGGACAACTGTATTTATATTCAGTGTGTACCATTGTAACACTGACACTGCAGCTAAACTTCATCAGCTGGGCAAGGTGTTAAGTGAAATATTGTGTAAAGGTCAAAGAACCACTTAGAAAACTCCTGAATCAAAAACAAACCCGGAAAACTGACTTTGCAATTATCATTATAATTTCCAAGCATTTTAACATTTTATTATTTAAAAAGCAATACAACTTAGGTAACTGCAGACCAGGGCAGAGAACCAGTGGTTTGAGAGCTGACAACAGCCCATTTTGTGGGTGCTCTGCTGTCCCCCTCTTTGCCTGGCTTTCCTAAAGGGTGGAAATTGCTATTTATGTTCAGGATATTTTTTGGGGGGCCATTCTTAGGCTACTGGTCATCAACGAGGTCTAAGATGGACTTTATGATCCACAATTTATGGGAAGCAGCTGGGTTTGTGTAAACACATGAAGTGCTAGTGCAGAGATTAGAAATCATCATTCAGCCTTGAAAGTGGGCTTTGAATGCAGGAGGACAAGGAACTTCGTATTTCTGTCAGACTTAGACTATGCTACTATTAAATTAAAGTAGGAATTCCAAACTGAAATATTCATGTTCTACTGCCACACCTCAAGCCTACGATTTCTGTGTGCTGAGGACAGAAATATTTGCATTTGGCATCTCAGTTTTCTTCAGCAAGTTTATTTCCTCTGCCTTTTTCATTAAAAGAGCTGGAGTGTGTATTGAGAATGTTATTTTGCTTATACAAAAGGAAAACTAGATAATAGGTGCTTCTTTAGTCTCCTACTGCTGGACAGCCATAATATTGAAGTCATAAATGGGCAAATGTCAAAGCAGGTCTCCTGCTGTGCCTGACTCCCTCTAATAATTTGGTGCTGTTTTATTGTTCTGGGACTTAGCTGGGAGTCCAGCTGTCAGCTGACAGAACTGGTAATGGAAGGGCCACATTCCTTATAGCAAGACAACTCCCTTCCAAATTCATGGCATATTTACAGCAGTTGGATTTGCAGTACCAGGTTTCAAACTATAGCTGTGCATAGCAAAATATCTGAACCTATGGGACTGCACTGCTAAATGCTTGTATTTGACTTCAAAAAATTATGTTCATACAAAATAAGGATGATCAGACCTTCCATCCAGCTATGAGTGGGCCTTGCACTGTTACAGAAGAACTGGCTGGGAGCTCTCCCATCCATGGAATCAGAAAGAAGCCCCATGGAAAGGGTACCTCTGTGGTCCTCAGCCACCACAGCAGATATTTGGAGCAGCAAGCCAATAATGTAACTTAGCAGCTTGCTAAAAAGCAAGTAAACATGGAAAAAGTCAACTGCAAGAGTTGCTGGGAGCATATCCACGTGCAGACAGACAGTTCTGATTTGTATTTGCCGAAGGAAAAATGCAACAGCCATTTATGCCTCACCTGTCTTGTTGCTGTTTGAAAGGTTTTACCACCCTACCAGCCTTTCTCAGACTCTCTGGACTCCTGTGACACTGCAAAGGGCAAAACCCTCCTGTTGGGTCTGATAACAAATAAGGCAGAACCTTCCCATCCTGACCTACCCATTCTTTGAAGGTTCCAGGTAGCAACACCAGTTGAGTACCTGCTAGAGAAGCTCTTGTGGCAGAGCTTCTGTGAAGGGCCCTCATGGGAATGAGGGCTCAGTGACTCAGTGGGGCTGTTGTGGGGCTGCACCAGGAGCTGCCTGGTTCAAAGTGACTCTTCACAGGTGCACTGCAAGGACACAGGTTCCCCCATCCAAGCAGGGCAGCACGTGGGGATGATCATTCTGGACATCTCTCGTGTCCTGAGCCAATTTGGATGGCAACAAGAAGAAAAGCACAGGTGTGGGAGCTGCTGTTCCCTCTGACACTAGTGGGAGTTCTCCATGCTGTGAAAGCCCTGGGTGAAAGGTGGGAAGGGGGAGTGCTCAGGAATAGCCTCTTCAAGAGGTGTTCTTGAAAAGGAAGAAGTTACAAGTACTACAACTACTTGCTGCTCCAGCCCAAAGGTGCTCCAGTTTAATGCTGGGGGATTATTAGCTCTTTGTGTACTTAACAAAACATGTCAGTAATGTGCTGTACAAAACCTTTCCCGTGGCAGCTGTCAGACTTGTTATAAGCTGCAGTTGAGCAACCAGTCAGGACATGTGGTTTTCTTGGGGAGAGGATTGTTGTGAGGATTGCTGTGTTGCTTTATTCCAGAAAATCAAATTAGCTCCTTGCTATTTCCATATTCTAGCAATAACTCCCTGCTGAAAAGGCATCCTCCTTCAGCATGGACTTAGGAAAACAAGGCAACAATAGTTCAAAGTGTTCAGGAAGAACATTCAGAAAACACTGAATTCTCAACATCTCTGTCCCTAACCTTTAGTCTATGAAACCTTCTCTGGTGTAAGTGGCACCTTTTTTCCCGGGCAGAATCTACATGGGGACTCTCATGTTGTCAGAAGAAAGGTAAGAAAACAGTTTGGGTAGAGAATTTATTTGCCACAGCAATCTACTGGACATAGAAATGATAAAGAAAAGTTAACTGAAAAGAAAGGCAACCACTACTATTTCAGTAAATAGTAGGAATTTACCAACAGCCACATACTGACCCTGGTGAAGATGTTAATTCACTTTAGTGGTTCTTTGAAGAGGGAAAAGGCAGAGTGAAAAAAAAGCACAAACAACATGAGATATTTTTCTTCTTTCTAAACACCAGCTAATCATTCATCCGACTTTTTGCTAGATAAGAAAGTTCTAGTGGTGGCTATTTGTGAGATACTTAATGCAGTGAGACTTTTTATTTTTTTAATTATTTTTGCCCAGGAGACAAATGTGTAACCATATGATTTGTCCCCCTGCTATGTTAAAAATGCATTTATATTTTTTCAAGCACACCCCGATTAAAGAGGGCACATCTGTTTTAAGTCCTTCTTTATGAAAATTACTGAGCTTCCTCTGAAAGCTTATCTTTTAATTTCAAAATTCTTTGTAGCAATAACTTAGATAATAACCAACCATATTTCTGTCTTCTTTAGAGAAAAAAAAAAAAAGAGAGAGAGAGAAAGAAAGAAAGAACCATTTTGAGCTTTGAACTCCCCCTCCCTCCCCTCTCTGGGTCTCCTTTGAAAAGGCCCCCCTCATTTGCGTTTAAAATGGATGTTTCATACTGGTTGATTAGTGTTCGTGTGGGATACCAGCCGCTCCGAGCCCAGGGCTCAGCTTGAGCCCTGCGGATTATTCATCAACTTCCCCGGCAGGGGGGACTCTGCCTCTCTCCCTGCTCAGCACCAAAGTGTTCAGCTTTGCTTTTCAACATTTTTTTTTCCCCCTCTTTTCACAAAGTTGGGGTTTTTTTGGGGGCGGGGGGATTTTTTTCCCCCCCCCCACTCCTTCTTCTCCATGAAGGGGTTATTTGAGTGTCCATAACACCAGAGCAACACACTTTTAATAGCAAACCACCCCCTCCCTGAGCAGCTTTCCTGGGGTGAACAGCACAGAATGGATCAGGACATATTTACCATATGTCTGTCTGGCTCCAACCATTGTTTAAGGCAAAGATCATTTAAATACCTAAATTGGGACTTGGAGAGGCACTTGGCTTTATCACTACATTATGTCCATATTATAGCATCCTCTTTATTTCTTTTCCCCTAGGTCTGACTGATGTTTTGTTTATCATATATTAAGCTAGAAAAGATGCAGAGGACATATGTAAGGATGTGTCTGTATTAACAGTATTTCAATAACATTTATCGTGGTTGCTTTCAGCATTTTGAATATCAAGTCTAATCCAGCTCTGAGCAGGCTTTTACAGAACTGTTATTTGACATTAGCTACCTGTGTATGTTTGTAATATTTGACTGTTATTATTAATCATACCTACTGAGATAATGCCTCAGAACCAATGAAAAGGAGTTGTCTTTGTGCAGAACAAAAATAAATAGCAAGCTATTTTGTGTGCCTGAAATGTAGCCCACTTTTGTATCATCTGAGCTCACAGAAGATGAGTTCCCTGAAAACCTGGGG